GAGCGCCTGGTGGAGAGGCCGCGAGCCCTGCGCGCGCCCAGGCCCGAGTGTGGGACAAAGGCCCCACCTTCGGGGAACTGTTAACAATGACCCGGCGCTTGGAAAACACGGTTCTGCCGCCCTCGCCCGGAATTCTGGTGCCGGGAGCAAGCATTTTTGTTCAGCACCTGGGTAGATCTATTACACGTTTTGATAAAGTAACAAAATATCACTGAAATGTAAAAAGACTGACTTCGCAGAAATTCCTCCCAGGGAGACCGCTGCATTTCGCTAGAAACCACTTCTTTGAAGCGCCGAGTAGAAGTCAAAACCACCTGCTTCCAAGGGAAAATTGGCTGGGTTTGGAGCGCCTACTTGACCAGAGCCAAACTGCTGATGAAAGAATGATGAAAGGCTGAGCTCTGCCTGCAATCAATGCCCTTCCTCGCCGTAATCCTTAGCTTTTTCTCTAAATGAAGAAATACTAAAGAGATTACAGATTAGAAGGGCCACACATTAAAGTTGTCTGATTAGAAGCAAAGAAGTCTTCCAACCTCACTGTTTAAACAATATGCAGATGATTTAGCGAAAATCGATTCAAGAATGCTAACATTTTCATCTATGTTAGTGGAAGAAATGGCAAGCCCCCCCTCCCTTGATCATCATCAATCAGAATAAGGATTAAAATAAAAATAATGAAATGGAGTCTTTCAAAAAGCAAGCAGAGAGAAGCCAGCTAATTTGACTAATGTCACTCATGTTATTCAGGGCAAAAAAGAATTCAAACTCCTTTTGATATAATAATGGAGACCCACTGATTTCAAGGTTTATCCTGAGAATTGAGCAGACAACTATCCTATAAAGAAAGATGTTGACACTACCTCCAAGGAGACAAAACTTGAGGGCAACTCTTTCCCTCAAAAATAGATCTACCTAAGCACTTTTAGCTAGCTGAGCCCAGGGGCACAGATAAATACCATCAAGACCCAGTAGATACATAACATAAGGTGGGGGAAGGATTCTGAGAAAGAAAGTACTAGTAGTACTAAAGACATTTATGTGAACCTCCTGGCCACAGAGGAAGAATAGTGGGGGTAGGGGTAGGGGGTTTGGAAGGCTTCCTTCTTTTGTGTTTAGGTGCTTTCCCTTGGATTGCTTAAAGGAATGTTAAACTCATAAGAAATTCTCCTTTCTAAATAATAATAACCTCTGCAATTACCCCTACCTTTTCTCTTTAGATTTTGACTGTTAAATATAAGAGTAATTAGCCAACATTATTTAAGTCCTTACTATGTGCCAGCCATGGGTCTTATGTAAGTCAGATTTACCTTGGTTGCCATTGACAGGAATAAGGGAAGGGGGAGGAATGGACTGTGGATATGAACATATTATGAGAAGGGTAGGAGTCGGGGGCCTCAAGGACCACTAGAATCAGAGTCCCTCTATCTGCCACCATCCCTTAGCTGGCTTCTCTCTGCACATTGGCTTCATACTATTCAACCAACTTCCTCCACATGACTGGAAACAAGGCCACTGACAGCTACTCAGTTTCATAACTTCAGCCTCACCATTAGGCTAAGGATGATGACCTCTGATCTCCAATTAAAAATTCCCAGGAAAGGACAGTTAATCCACCCAGCAACTTTACCATCATCCATGAGCCAAATGATTGTGCTAAAGAGCTAGGATCTGTAAGCACAGGAACACATTCATATTCTTGTAACTCCAGTGTGTGTGTTTTCACTATTCTGTAAGGATACAAGAGTATACTAATGCTGGTTTTCCATTCAACCATAAATTGGAAGAGAGGGTGTTATACTTAGAAAATGGTTTGGTCTACTGACCCATTGTGATTAAGGCTTGGTCCTCCCATTCCTGGGTGTGCTATGGGTGTGCTATTGACAAGTGTGGAACCTTTGGGAGGTGGGGCCTAGCAAGAGATCTTTAGGTTATTGGGGGTGTGTCCTCAGAAGATAGTTCTTATGGGACTTCTTGGTGGTTCCAGTAGGTCATAATAAAAACCTAGGTTTGACTCTACCCAGCTC